GATGAAAAGAAAAACTGTCAAACGTCTGGTATGTTACTTTGATTATAGTAACAATACTATCAATTTAATTGGTAGTTCAATTTCATGTTAAAACCATTGAAAGTCTTTTAATGCGTGGGGTTTTTATTGCATAATAATGCATACGTTTTATTATAATAATACATAATAATGTATGAGGTTTAAAACATATGCACGTTAGCAATTAAAGCCATTAAATATTGTTTTTAACATTGGTTTTAAAAGTGATAAATGCATGAGATTAATGCATTAACGATTCATGGATTAGAAACAACATGAAGAATAGTGATTTGTTTTATGCTTTATTGCAATAAAATGATGAGAGAAACGTTTAAATTAATGTGCATTAAGATATGTTATAAAATGTTGTATATTATAACATTAAATGATTAATGCATAGAAACATTTAAACATGAATCAAGGTTATGCATGATAAATTCAATTTAAATGCAATAAAGTTGTGTATTAAAATTTACATGAAATTTACATGAAAACATTTACTGTTGGCAGTTTCATGACATTTAATTTTATACATGAATGTTGATTATAACCTTTATATGATCTAAATGTTTCAAGTTTCAATAGTAGGTTGAACGATTTATTAAATATCTATATAAATATTTGTTAATAACTATATATATGTTAGTGTTTTTTAAACGTTCAATTTTGAAACTTGCATGCTATAATCAAATGTGACATGACTATAATGTTATGAACATTGACATTTCGGTATGAGAGATAATGCATGTATGATATTTGGTTCATGTGGAGATGAGTAACTATTTATTTTCATGTGGGGTTAAGACTATTATGTTTCTGAATAGTAAGTTGATAATAAATGTCAACTCTCTTGTCGTACTAATAATTTCTTTTGAGAAATTTATAAAGATAACAGAACAGTTGCACTTTTGGAGAATCATGAAGATGATGATGTTGAACAAGAAAATTCTTCAAAATGATGATGCAAAGAATGAATTTGCTTGCATGGTGAGAATGAACAAGTCTAATTGGAATTTTGATTCTACCTGCAAGGTCAGATTATTTAGACTTGTTGCTTGTTAATTCATGCCTTTTAAATACATGAATTAGATTGCATGAGCCTTTAAGATAGTCTTTAAAACTTAATGGATACTATGAAATGAGATAAAACCACTAGTAAAGACTAAGGTAGCACTACTAAGGATAAGGTAGTAGTGTAAGCCCGAAATATATATGCTTAATAACATACTATTATGATTAAAGTATCAAGCATAATTCTTTAAGAAGCCTTAAGAAAGAGAAAATCTATAAATAATTTATTGGAAAGTTGTGTGATGAGTATGAAAGTGCACGTCTAGGATTGGTTCTGTGAAGACTTGGTACTTAAGCGTGCCTAGTGCACCACCTCTCTTTCATAGAAACCTACATGGTGCATTGTTCATTACTATGCTCACTATTCCAATACTATGACCAGATAAAAACTCTTAAATCTTAGTGCAGAAGTTAAAAGAGTAGAGATTAATTTGGTTGAGTGGAATACCAAATTTAGTTATAGTAAATAAAATATATGATTATCAATATCATGAAAGAGAATATGATAAACACTATTGCTACTAAAAGTGTGTAGTAGCTATTAAATCTCTTTAATTGATTTTCCTAAAGTAGAGGAAAGAAAATAGATTATCTATTTCAGAATTTGTGCTAAAATATCTTGTTTTAAACTTGAGATCATTTTTCCTGATGTTAGGAAAAATCGAAATTCATTTTGAATGAGAAAAAAGTCATAAAGAATTTCATATTGGTTTATGCATTTTAATATTAATGATTTGGAACTTCTCAAAACTTTGAGAATATAATTATGTGTAAACAAAACTTGAGTTTGTTAAAATATAGTTTTATGGCTAAAACTCATAACAAACTATACTCTAGTATGATTGAGTATTTGTTTACACGTTTTACAAGACACTTATGGATATCCTAAAATGTTAGAAATGTGGGGGTGTCTTAAAATGTAGAATAAATGCATAAACTTAAATAAAAAATATTCTATCAACTTCTTCTAGTATTCCTGCTAGGTCTTCTCAAGAAATTGATTTCGAGACTAGAAGAAGTAAAAGGCTATTTGGACCAAATTTTATCACTTCCTTTATTTCTGAGATAAATAATTTAGACTCTCTTTCTGATCATATATCTTAAATATTATATGAAGATCCTAAAAAGGTTATAAGATCTATCGATACTAGTTCTAGAAAAACGCTATTAATGATGAACTAGAATCGGTAATGTCTAATCATACTTGGGAATTAGTTGACTTGCCTAGAGGATTTAAACCAATCTGTAGCAAATGAATCTTCCGAAAGAAAATGAGACCAGATGGTTTGATCCAGTGGTACAAGGCAAGGCTAGTTGTCAATGGGTTCACTCAAAAGTTTGTTTTAGACTACTTTGATTATTACTCTCCCGTTATGAACATCTCAATGATACGTACATTATTTTTACTAAACTCCATTCATAAGTTGCGAGTACATCAAATGGATGTTAAGACTATATTTTTGAATGGAGATCTAGATAAAGAGATCTATATGAGAACAATGGTACAAGAAATTTCATAAAACTATACTTAGTTTTGGTTTTGTTGTGAATGGTTCAGATGTTTGTGTGTATTCGAGGATGTTTGATACTGATTACGTCATCATAAGTTTTGTATGTTAATGACATGTTGATTTTCAGTTCTAACATTGAGTCCATTAACAAAACAAACATTTTTCTTGTCCACTAAATTTGAGATGATGGATCTGTGAGAAGTCAATGTAATCTTAGAAGTCAAAATTACCAAAACTAAAAAGGGTTTTTCTTTAAGTCAAGCACACCATCTTGAGAAAGTGTTAAAGAAATTTGATAGTTTTGATGTCATCCCTGTCCGAACCCTTGTGACCCTAGCATATATCTCTTTAAGAATAAAGGAAGTAGCGTTTCCCAAACTGAATATGCTAAATTAATCGAAAGCTTAATGTTCTTAATGAACTATACTCGGCCTGATATTGCTTATGTTGTGAGTAGACTAAGTATATATACTCATAATCCAAGTGGTGAACACTGGATTGCTCTTAAACGCTTATTGAAGTATCTTAAGGGTACTTTGGATTGGAAACTTGAGCTTGTTGGCTTTCCTATGATACTGAAAGGATATTGTGATGCCAACTGGTTTCTGATAATGATGAGGTAAGCTCTACGAGCGAGTATGTTTTTACTTTAGGTGGAGCATCAATCTCGTGGAAATCATCAAAGGAGACTTGTATTGCTCATTCTACTATGGAGTCAGAGTTTATAGCTCTTGACCTAGCTGGGCAAGAAGTCGAGTGGCTCAGAAGCTTGTTAGTAGATATTCCGTTGTGGGGAAGACCGAATCCTCCGATTTCTTTATCGTGTGATTCACAAGTTGCGATATATGTGGCTAAAAACCAAGCTTACAATGGTAAGAGACGACACATTCGTATAAGACATGAATCATATAGACACTTAATAAAGAATGTAGTGCTCTCTTTAGAGTATGTGAAGTCAGAAAAGAACCTAGTAGATCTTGGTCCTAGATTCGTCGGGGGGGATGGGTCTAAAGCCCATTGGTTGAGGAATTAATGGTAGATACCCAACTTAGTTATCTAAGTTCCATGTGGTCAAACGAAACCATGGAAAGACTCATAGTGCACATTCCTACTGCCTATGCCTATGATGAATAATGTGCATGCCCAGGATGAGCTTAATTGCTCTTAATAAATTCATAGCCTAGGATTTGGGTGGTCCTAGTGAGAAGACTTGATGAATTTACCTATTTTGGATGAATATCTATTCTTAACAAGTTCAGAACCCAGAGTTGAGTGGGTAGTTCTAATCGCGAAGGACTGGATGAACTTACCGCTTGAGAGGATGAGTTTTATTAAACTCTTAATGAATTCAAACACAAGAGTTTGGGAGTTCCTAATGAGAATGACATATTGAATTCACCGAATTATGAGGTTGAATATTTATTCTTAATGACTTCTTATCCCAGAGTTTGGGTGGTTCATTTTTAATGAACTTGAAGAAAGTCACCATACTCTTTGTGAGGTTAAGTTATTATAAAAACTCTTAATTATTTCATAGCTTAGTTTGAGTGGTTTATGTTGAGATAAACTTGATCAAATAACCTACGTAACTGAGAAGGATTAGTCACCTTCTATGAAAAACGTTGGGTTGTTTTTCTAGTACACTTATTAGAATCCTAAGGAAAGAGGGGTAAACATATATACGCTTTTTGTATATATTCTTTGTAGACACATCGAGGACTTTGGTAGATGAAGGGGTTAGTTGTGTGTTATGAGTTTACCCCAATCTTAGAAAGTTCAAGACTAGTTTCACTTATCTAAGAGAAGGATTGCTCATCATCATTATGTACTAGTTCCAGATATGTTCACTAGTTCTTAAGAAACTAATCTCGCTATTGCTCTTCTCGTGTTTTAACTTCATTGCTCTCATCTTTACGAAATAATTCTTTTGCATTAGTGGGGGAATATTGATAATGCTCAAAATTAGGCCATACCACTAGTATTAGAAATATGCTAGTTAGGTTATCCCACTAGTATTTGAAATATAATATAATTAGGTTATTCCGCTAGTATTGGAAATGACCATTTTGCCCTCACTATTTAGCATATAAATAGTGAGCAATTTCATTCATTTTGTGATATCCAAGCAAACATTTGCTTTGAAATACTCCTAACTTTTGATTGTTGTTTGAGTTGAGAGAAGAGAAATACCACCAAGTTCACTCCAGTTTTCGGGTGTACGAATTCTTGGATAGTCGTGTTAACCTTGGGAGAACGGTCCGCCTACTGCAGCGATTACATACATTGGGGCGAATTCGTTTCTAAGGCAGTGGTTAATACCACGACACGGTTAATCGATTCTTTATTTATATATTTTTCAATATATATTTTTCCAGTCAATGTTAATGTCTCGTTTTGCAGCAGTCTATTTTACCAACAATAGTTGGAGCTGGACTTGCTGGCTTGGCAGTAGCAAGGCAAATTTTATATTTTGGTTTCAAGGTAGTTGTCATAGAAGGGAGAAATTGACCTGGGGGAAGAGATTATACTCAAAAGATAAGTAAGAAGGATAAATGTGCTGCTGTGGACCTTGGTGGTAGTGTAATCACTGACATCCATGCCAATCCTCTAGAAGTTCTAGCTAGGCAACTTTTAATTCCACTTCATAAGGTCCGAGATCATTCCCTTTATATAAACCTGATGGGTTTCCTGTTGAGAAGGAAACCGATTCCAGGATTGAAATGATCTTTAACAAAATGCTTGACAAACTTAATGAACTGAGAAAAATAATGGATGGATTTGCTAATCATATTTCTCTGGGATCAGTTCTGGGAAAGGTCCGACAGTTGTATACTGTGGCTAGAAGTCCGGAGGAGAGGCAACTTTTGGAGTGGCATCTTGCTAATTTAGAATATGCAAATTCAGGATGTCTTTCTGACTTGTTAGCTGCCTACTGGGACCAGGATAATCCTTATGAGATGGGTGGAGACCATTGTTTTCTTTCTGGAGGGAACTGGAGATTGGTAAAGGCATTATCTGATGGGGTTCCCATCATCTATGGGAAAAGAGTTTATGCTATTAAATATGGTGTTGAAGGAGTTGAGGTTGTTGCTGGTAATCAAGCATTCCAAGCAGATATGGTTCTTTGCACTGTGCCTCTTGGAGTCTTAAAGAGAAAGACCATTAGATTTGAACCGGAGTTACCTCAAAGAAAGCTAGCTGCTATTAACAGATTGGGTTTTGGGCTCCTGAATAAAGTTGCCATGATTTTCCCTCATGTTTTCTGGGGAGAAGAGCTAGACACGTTTCGATGTCTAAATGAAACTAGTGATAACCGTGGAGAGTTCTTTTTATTCTACAGCTACCATACCGTTTCTGGAGGTCCGGTGTTGATTGCCCTGGTGGCTGGTGAAGCTGCACGAACATTTGAACACACAGACCCTTCCCTCGCGTTCTAAGCAAACTTAGAGGTTCTACATACGTTTTGAGCTTGTGACAAATGTCAACAGATTATTAGTCTCTTTTTTTCATGATTTTGCTTTTGCATTTTCTATATCTTCATTGGGAAAAAAGCATTGTTGTGATCTATTGATTTTCCTTGCAGGTATTTATGGTCCAAAAGGTGTAGATGTTCCCGACCCTATGCAAACAATTTGTACAAGATGGGGAAATGGTCCCTTTTCATATGGTTCATACTCTCATGTTAAAGTATAGTCATCCGGCAGGGATTATGATATTCTTGCAGAAAGTATAGGCAATAGGTTGTTTTTTGCTGGTGAAGCCACAACACTGCAATATCCGGCCACCATGCATGGTGCCTATTTGAGTGGGTTAAGGGATGCTTCACGTATTCTCTGTGCTACAAGAGGTCACCAAAATTACTTTAGGAGATTTGCACAGCGGAATTTTGGACCAAACAATGATCATTTGGCCAGTCTATTAAAATGGCCTGATCTAGTATGTGGGAAGTTCTCATTTGTGTTCAATCCGTTAACAGAGGACCCTAAATCATTGGGACTCTTGAGAATTACTTTTGATAATTGTAAAGATGATATGAGAAATGTGCTGGAAAAAAGCTGTGACCCTTTATCAAATCAACCATTACAGCTGCACACGACGTTATCTCATGAACAAGCACATGAGCTGCAGATGGTAACTGGAGAAGAGGAAAGTAAATGGGTTTATCTGATAAAAAATATTGGATCAAAGCTTATGGGAGCTAATGCTGTTGGAATCACGTATAACACCTTGGTTACTAGCATATCCAATGCAAGAAGAGGTAGAGGGGGCAGGTGTCATATATCTGCTCCGTTGCTAAATAGTAGTGCTCCATTAGTGGAAAGAATTTAATGTCCTCTCTGGTGCAGGTACATAAACCGAATTAGGCAGGTTATTCTTCATTGACATTTCAAATGTCGTAAATTCTTTCTTAGCCAAATTGGTTGCAAATTCAGGGATCCATTGGTCCATAATGTAGGTATGGTGGTTTTCGGTTATGATTGGATGTCATTGTATTCCCAGAATCAGACACCACACTAAAACTTAGATATGTTGTATTCAGTATTCCTGTATGTTGTATAGAGTGAGGTTTTATCTTTGGGGCCAATATATATATGTTTCTTCACATATCTATGTTATTCAAATCACTGAACACCTTGATTTTTGCACTTTTTCCTCGACATGAAATGGCTTATCGATGCAATGTGTATTCAAGGCATGTTGTTAATTTTTGTGTTCATGATCATGAATCTGTGGTGATTCTATCGGATAATATGAGCTATTGGATTATATACACAAATAAAGAAGTATTGAAACCAACTTATGGAAACATTGCAATCAATCCATAACACAAATATTAAACAAGCAAATGCAAATACAGGCCATGAACTGCAAATGGGTCAAAATACGATGACAACCTTTGAATTTTGTCCCATTAAAAACAAATCATAAACATTTTAAAACTTGATGGCAAATAAAAGCCCTTCTTTTTTAAGTTGATCCAAGTTCTCAACTGGACATTTGAGTCTTGACACTTTAGCAAGAGCCTTGTTTTCTTCAGGAGTCCCACCTTCAAGGAAAGCTCCAACAACCTTTCCATCTTTGATCCAGTAAGATCCAAACTTCGGCTTCGGTGATAATGGATTGTTGTCTCCGAAAAACACGGTTTCACCAACATTGCCTCCATAGAACTGCCATGAAAGTTCAAATGACCGAGAGTAAAAGTATGGAAGATAATCATACTCTTCAAGTTCTTGACCTGTTTCATTTGCCTTAATAGCCTTCACAGTTGTTCAGCCGATTTCCGGGCATGGTCGACATGTTCGACTCTCCTTGTTTCGTTGTATAGTTTCAACGGGAAAGTGGCTACATCTCCGACTGCATATACACCAGGCATGCTTGTTTTGAAGAATCCATCAGTTTTAATCCCGCCTTTCTCTTCTTCAAGCTGTCCCTTGAATAATGTTGTCAAGGGTCTTGCTCCGACACCAACGACAACAATGTCGGCTTCGACCACCCTGCCATTCTTGAGCTTCACTCCCTTAACTTCTCCATTTGCATTAGCATTGAAGCCAACTGCAACTGTTCCTTTGATGATTTTGATCCCTTTATTCTCGTAATAACTTTCATAGAATGCAGCTATTGAAGGGGTGAAAAGCCTAGGCGTGCACCAAGGCTCAGGGTAAACCATCGTGACAGAGAAATCGTTGATTCTCATAGCTGCTGCAACTTCAAGACCAATGAACCCTCCTCCGACAATCACAACATTTCCATTATTCTTCTTTTTAATTGTTTCGACAAGCTTATCGGCATCTTCTAGTTCTCTCAGATAGAAGATGTTCTTGGCATCAGCTCCTTGTTCTTGGCATCAGCTCCTTCTACCTTGAAATCTGTTAACCTTATAACAGTGGAACCTGTTGCAATTATCAATGCCTGAAACTTAAAGATTTCTCCAGCAGCATTTATGAGAGTCTTCAAACCAAGATTTACTTTAACAATTTCGGTTCCGAGGATCAATTGAATTCCTTTTTCTTTATACCAATCAGGAAGTAATCTGTCACCTCCACTTCCAACACAGCATAGAATCCAGGCAGTCTTGCAGCTTCCTTCGGATTCAGATTTAGATACGCCTTGCTCAAAGCAGGACGTTCATAAGGTGCCACCGCCTCTTTCGAAATAATCGCTAACTGCCCTGGCTTAAGGCCTTGTCTATCGAACTCCCTAGCTGCATATCCTGCTGTAACTCCCCCACCAATAATTATGTACTTGAAAGACTTTATCATACCAAGAAATGCTTTGCCTTTCCTGAGAAAAGCCTCGAGTTCCACAACCTTTTCCTCAACCGGTTTTCCGAGAAACACCCGAGAAAGAAACTTCTTTTCTCCAGCCTTTTGTTCGATGATTTCAGTTTCGGTTTTGATTCTCTTAATATCATCCAACCAGATTTTCACTTCTTCTGTCTGCATTGTCCCACCATGAATCTCTGCACTTATTCTTAGTTCATTATCTTCCTTAACAGTATTCAACTCTTTCAACAGTTTTTTCATAATCTTCATATTTTCATCTAAACTTCTGTTGAAGTTCAAGCATCTTTCAATGGGAGCAAATATAAATTTTGCAGTTCCAATAACTAAGTTGGACAAAGAAGCCATTGGCATGTATCTGATGGAAACCTGAATTGAATGGAAAGCAAATCTAATATTTAGTTTTTTTTTTTAATATTCAAAGTTTAGAACATGATTCTAAGTTGAACAGATCTGGAAAAAGTACTTAAAACAATTTGACAACGAAGAGACAAGAGTTACTTTCTTATCTGTTTGTATCCATGTTTCTGCATTATACCATACTATGTTACTCGGATTCAAGTATAAGTTTCGGATGTAAGTATGTTCATTTCTCTCTAATGGTTTTTCTCTATGATCTTTATGTTCATCTCTCTAATGGGTTTTCTCTATGATCTTTTTCGTGTACTTAAAAGGTTCATATCTTCACATCCATGTCTTAATATACATCATACACGAATATTTCAAGAAAAATTAAATCAGAACCAGGGATTTAAATAGCGTTCGCGGCCGCGTTTTCGGTCGCGTCGCGTTTATCGCGATTGCGGACATAACGGATGTCATCGCGGCCACTGCGGTAGTGAATTTTCTTAAAGTTCTCACAACTTATTCTATAAACTATAATAATTATAATTTTAAAGAATGATTTTAATGATTTTTAGAATGTTTTCTAAACGAAAATAACATATATATAATATAGTTTAATCAAATATTAAACTAAGTGATAGGATACGATAATTAATTAATAATAACATTGTGAATACATTATTATTTAAAAGAAATAAGACTATCAACATAGACAAAACTCAAAAAAATAAAATATATAAAAATAAATTTCTCGTTATTATTCACTTACCAAAATCAACATATTATAACTTAAAACTTATAAAATTAAAAATAACACATTATTCATTTTTAAAAAACCTATAACATAAGTAAAAAAATATCAAATCCAAAAAATAATTAATTTATTAGGTCTGTTTTGGTCCAAACCTATAACATTAAAAGTACAAAATTAATTAACTTGTTATTGGGCATGTTTTGGTCCAAACCTAAAACATTAAAATTAAAAAATAATTATTTAAAACATAAAATATAACTAAAAAATGATTAAATCCCTTTTTCTGTATCGTGAGTGAGAGGGGAGGCAGAAACATAGAGCAAATATTTTGAAAAATAGAGATTTTTTTTGTTAAAATTCATCCATTTTCTTCTTTATTTTTTCATGTTTTTAACTTTTCTTTGCTTGCTAACTTGATTCCTACCAAAAATACCCAAAAAATCTTACTTGGTTGCTGCATGTTACAGTTATGGATGTTTCTTCCTCCATTAAGAGGGCTAGCGAGCTTGATACGCAATTCTCACCCACAAAGTTTCATTCCCAGTTGGTAAGGCTAAGAGATAATATGGTTTTTTCGTCTTTGAATTGCCTGTAAAAAAAAAAGAAAAATACCATTTTTTTTAAGTAGCTGTATTGTTGGTGATGTTTGGTGTTGTAACGGGGATTAACGAAAAAAACGGTCCGTTATAGCCGCGATCGACCGTTACCCGTTAAATTGCGGCCGATATCAGCCGTTATAGGTGTGATTTCGGCTTATATCGATAACGGGAGCCGTCTATACCGCGATATAACGGCCGTTATACCGTTACACGACCGTTTTTTGAATCCCTGATCAAAACAATGTAGAGAAAAAACTTCGAATAAAATAGAGTACGGATTGATCTAGAAGATGTAACAAAAAATCAATTTTCAAGCAATAGTTTAGAAGAATGGCAATTACCTGTTACTCTTGGCTAATGTTTCAGATTGTCAGTAGAGAACACCAGGAAAAAAAAATAGTGAAGATAATAAACTGCAACTATGAAAGAGAGGAGAAGGGTAGAGTTTTATGATGATTCCTGCTAAAAGATTTACTTCTTTTGCAAGAAAAGTTGAGAATGAAGCAAACTAAAATTCATTGAGGCCAAGTGTCAGATGCACGATTCATGAAAAAGGAAAAGAATTGCAAATAGAGAAGCCAAAGGAGCAATGATGGTGATATTTGGATTCGGTTGTGAGTTTCAGATACGAGTATGCTCACTTATTTTTTTTATCCCAATATCTTCATGTAGCTACCTTTAAGAGGTGCTATCCAGCAAGTTTGAGAATTCATCTAACTCGATGAAGGAAACATAGAAAACAACTAGTAGAACAAACATGTTGTACAACTTACTAGAATCAAACTTTGTTTTCTCGGCAAACATGTGTGGATCATACTTGAAAGTGAAACACTGGTTTTTTCTCATGCCAACACTTGGAAAAAGACATTACATTAAAAAACATCGACAGCCATGACTCAGTTCATACAGCATAAAACATGTCTTGTAATTTAAACAAACATGTGTGGATCATACTTGACATTCTTCCACCACGTCAACCTCTATAAATGGCTACGGATGAATTCCTTCATCGAATGATCCTTGCCTTCGGGTTTCACAGAAACTTCAACCGTGGTTCGAGACTTCTTTTCAGCTTGTTCCGCTGCTTGCTCGCGCAGAACATTGACTTCTTTCTCCAGTTTGCTTACTGTGGCTTGCAATTTCTTCAACTCTTCATCCTGTTTCTTGGAATCGTTCTCACTTTTTAACTTCTTATCATCATCTCTTATGGACTTTGACACAATTTTATAAGTTGGATATGCACCTGCAAACATAGTAAAGGATCATATATTATGCCTCACAATTAAATGATACAGGGTATGTATTTATGTTGATTACCAGGAATGGATTTAAGGCCCTCAACAGTGGCGTTCTTGGCGAAATCAGTAGCTGCCCTGGAGATTTTGGATCGGGTTTGGGGATCCGACAAGTGATGATTCACCTTTTGAAGTGCATCAGCTGAGATCTCCTTGCCCTTGGTGATGGCGGAGGAACCATGATGGTTAACCTTTTGAAGTGCATCAGCTGAGACCTCCTTGCTCTTTGTGAACACTGCAGAACCATGAGTGTACGAGCTCTGAAAAAGGCCCTTCACAGAGTCCGTTGATCCAGAGATGAAGTCCCATATCCCCATTTTCTTGATGTTTTCCTTTACTTTCCCTTTAGTCTTTGTGCAGGAATAGGAAGAAGAAAGCAGGCAAAAAGGGGCAATGAGGGAAGTTGCTTTTCTTTATCATATATATTCCTGGTACTAGACTAGTAGCAGTGTTAATTACTCGGCAACTTGCTGCTAGTCCCCACTCCCAATTATTTCATTGCTTATTCCATGGTGTAAGGGTTTTATGTGATTTCCATTTTAATTAGATTTCAAGATGTTTTTTTTTTTTAAAGGGGAAAAAATAAAGTTTAGGACCAGATGATTTTTTATTTTAATTGTCAAATCATTCAAATTGTTCAAATCTATTTATTTTTTATTTTAATTTTAATCTGATTTGAATTTTTAATTCTGATTTGAAGTTCGAATTTATAAGATTCGAATAACAGAAAAAAATTAAAATTAAAATGATTTTATTTTAATATTTAAATGAATAATTTTACCTTTTTACCATTTGATCTCCAATTTCTCAGCCACTTTAAGTCTACTGTTGACTAAAACCAAACCATAAGTTCCCATTCCAACTACGATAGAATACTTATATAACTTTAATTTCTCTGATTTAATAATAAATTTCTTACTTTTACAAATCAATCCCCCACCTCTACATTTATTTAATTTGATCCTCCAACTATAACTCTTTACAAACTCTTTCCTCCCATCAATATTTTACCCTCAACATCCATTCTTTTAAAAAAATAACATTATAAAAATGTCATATAAACTCAACTCGAGAAATTTTCAAATAAAATTTAAATACTAGATTATATCCATAAACTCAAAGAATTTGATTTTTTCCACTTGACTCGATCGAATACTCACCTATATTTTTAAATGCCGATGTCATTGCAAGGTTAAACCCCTTTCTTAACCGAGCCCAGGTCCAGCGTAAAGAAGAAAATTCGATTTATAAAAGAGCCTATAATCTTCCATACTCAACATTGTATACGAATTCTGAAGTAACTAAGATATCCCATTCTTTAGTTCGTACCATATGCACTATCGTCACTTTAAAACAAGACAATGCAGCCCTTTCTTCTACTAAACATACTGTTAATCATGTGATCAGATGGTTTACAAGACATATCTGCAATTCATTATACATTAGACTATGAGATACCTTTTACGCAGTGCAAGACATTCAGATAGAGGTTTTCGCCCAACAGATCCTTGTTTAACATTTTGGCATGATGTTAATCAGCCTGCAATATTAACAGTTTCAGAGAGCGATATCCGCAGCAAAATGCATACAACATCCATTGGCATGAGAACTAGTTTCCTATAATTCGCTGATCTATTGGCAATATTAATTGCAGGTTAAGTTATGGTGCACTACAATACGTAATAAGCACTACCCTATGCGGATTAATATATAACTTTTGAACAAATTATGATGTGTTGTGTAATAAGCATTACCCTATGTGAATTAAACGGTGGCTTACAAAAATGTTGCGAGGCAATGCATGATAAGATGTAATGAGAATGGAGAAGTACCATATGCAGATTAACCCATAGCTTAATCGAATCCCACCTCAAATTCTACGTAAGCTTGCACTAATCATCTTAAAACATAAAGAATAAAAACCAACCTTATTGTCGTAGACTAGATTGAGTTCAAAGGCTTACCATTTGTGATGACAAACCATTCATAAAGACAACCCATCAAAGAGCAACTCCAACTCTTCTTGTGAAGCAGTTCTCTAGCATAACAAAAAGGCAAAACAACGTGAAACCCCTCTCCTTTACTTTTCAACTCAACTTTAGATTTTTTGGGTATCAATACTAAAACCAATCAAGCCACCAGATCTTGATTACCTGAATGGACAACAGTTGAAGAATTTTATTAAGAACGCGCATTCGATGTGTAACATAAGAACTGGTAGCAGGAAGCCTGTTCATCCTTTTCATTTCTTCATGAATCGCCGCAGTCTTCCCTTCGTACCCCATTTGATTCCATTGAGGTCTGGCATTAATAGTCCCGGCCTCATCCATGGTTTGATCATTAGCACGGTCAGTTCCCTTAAATTGTTCGAAACTTCCCATGACGAACAAGAACTAAACAAGCCAACCTACACCATTCGGGTTATACATTACATCAGAAACACGATTCTGAACTCGGTTTTAACATGGTTGTCATCTGATTTATGTTTCATTTTAAGGGATTTGATTTGAATGAGATGTCGAATGGAGAATATGAGCTGATTTAATACATTCTTTTATATGTATGAAATTCTTGTTACATTAATTGAGATCAATGGAATTCCATCACTAAAATTGCATTTTAGATAGCATCATATATATTATGGTTTGGGATATCTAAACTTGGGTTTCCTCAAATAATTAAAATTTTTGCCTAATTATGCATTTCCTCTATAGTATCTTTGATAAGTTTGCTGATCACAATTGATTTGTTCATATATTTGAAACTTTTGAAGGGTTGATTTTTGGACCTTAGGAAAAGTTTTATGCAATCTTCGTATATGGGAATGAGGCCTATAATTAAGTCATGGAGGGTGTTAAAATTTCTCCATATTCTTTGTATGTATATACGTACACAACTACAAATACATACACACATTCTCCTGAATTTTCAATTCTTGTGCATATATGTTAACATATATGGTATGATAGACTTGTTTAATGAGTGATTTGGGTTGTTGCATACTTGGGTGACCGGTTAGCCTGTTATCTTATCTGGATTCAGGTTCTTATCTTTTGATCTCATATGTAGATTCTGGAAGGTCTTGAATTGCCTCTTGAGTCAAATTCATATCTCTTTCTTACTCAAAAGGTTTATTGAATTGCTTCCACTGTCTCTACTTCCATGCTTCTGTCTTGGAAACGAAACTTGGTGCCTTTGGAAATGTATCTGACATATTTTTTTATTCTTATGCCTAAGACTGCAAAGGATTAGATTGGTTTGGAATATATTTTTTTAAAGTTACAGGCGGTTTGACTTCGTAACAAGCCAAGCTCATGTTCCCCTGGTCCAAATTTGCATCTTACTGTCTCTTGCTGCAGGTTCGATCTGCTACCCTGGACACATGGCTCCCTGAGCAGATTGCTTTTATTCAATGTAAGCTTTTATGTTTAGCCATGAATCTGTATTCTGTTTATATTGGTTTTATGTTAAGATGGAGTGGAGCCTACTAATATGACAATGGCTTCTCTTATTATACAGCAATGGGAAATGAGAAGGCAAATTGCCCCCTAATTACTGGGAAGCATCTAGCAGAAACGAAAATCTTACTGCAAGAAGAATTAGTCTCCTGTTCCTCCTAAGGGGCCGAATCCAGTATTAAGTTCTTTGGCTATATGCTATTGTTTCTAACAGTTCTAGAAAACCATAGTTATTCATGTTTCTTCATCTATTTTATGCAAATAGCTTAGTGGTGTTAGAGTGAAAAGATATGAGAAAAATGGCGGACAAAAATGTTGAAAACAAATAGTATGAATTAGAACCGTGGTCTTGAAATTCCTTTCTTGCTTCTCCTTATGTTGTATTTCTCCTAGTAATTTACTTACTTTAATATTCTCAAAAAAAAAAAAACTTTCATAATGTTGTGCTGATCTAACAGGTTACACCTGTCCGGGAGCCTGAAACGGTTGTTGTGACACCAGTTGAGGCAACAACTACTACTCCCACTGTAATGCCCCCTAAATTTGAATATGCTACTGACCTTTTCAACATGATGTCCATTGATGATGCTCCAAGTGAAAATGCTTCTGGTTCTGGGGCAGCGACCACTGATGATAGTGATTGGGCATGTTTCCGGTGTACGCCCTAAAATTTCCCCATAATTTTTGTTCATTATCTTGTTAACATGCTTTCTGCCAAGTGACAAACCACCTGGATATTGAAAATGATGGTGATCGTATTTTATTATTGCTGTTAATTTTGTGATGTGATAACTTTTAGCCGCTGTGGACACTTCTGCAACTAACAAAAATGATCCACCAAGAGCTGGTGAGAACAATGGGCAGTTTGCTACTGGAGTTGAGAATTTATTTAGTGATTCGCCTCCAATAACAACCAACCAAGTCCCAGAGAAGCCACAAAAAGATGTAAAAAATGATATTATGAGCCTTTTTGAAAAGGTATATCTTCATCATTTGCTTGTTGGAGCTAATTAAGATTATTCCTTAACATTTCTCCTATGTTACTCGTTTAAACATTTTTTTTTTGTTTGTTTCATGGTTTCAATTGATTCCAGTCCAATACAGTGCAGCCTTATGCAATGCATCAACAACAACAACTAGCATTGCTAGCACATCAACAGTCCCTTCTGATGGCTGCTGCAGCTAAATCTGCTCCTGGAAATACTCAACACTCACCATCCAATGGTGCAATCATACCCGCTCAACAACAACTAGCTTTGCTAGCACAGCAAAACTCCCTTCACATGGCTGTTGCATCCGCTCCTGGAAATACTCAACACAGTTCATCTACCACCATAAGCATTCCCCCTCAACAACAACTAGCTTGTTAGCACAACAACAATCCCTTCTCATGACGGCTGCAGCTAGAGCTCCTCCTGGAAATACGCAACAGCCTCCATCCACCAGCACAAGCATTCCCACTCAAAATTGGCCAAACATTGGCTATCAAATGCCTGGGTCTGTTGGTGCACAGGCTGATTTGCAGAAACTTATGCAGGTAGACTCCAGAGTATAGTTGCAACAGTTTCTTTAAAGAAGTATAGCTAGCAAGTTTATCATTGTTTTAATTGCTTTTTAGAATGCATATGGGACAGACACAAGTGGGAAACAAAATGTTGCATCATCCAGGTACATATTTAATCTCTTTATTATTGGTTTTGTTTCTACTTTTCCATGAACATATGTGGCATTAACATATGTTGCATTGCACCCATAAGATCCTAACTTTTGCCAATTCTTTTCTTGCAGCTTTTATGCATTGGGGAAAGTTACCACAGCAACTGGTGCTGCAACTAATGGATCAAGCAAACCTCAATCGGCTTCCCCAGTTTCATCGACGAACTCTCCACAAACAGGAAAGGATTATGATTTTTCATCATTGACACAAGGGTTATTCACAAAACGCTGAGTTGAGACAACCAGATGATTGTTTGCTTCCGT